ACCCATATTCAAAACATGCTCTCAGATGTTTGCAAATCCTTATTTAAAAGTAGGGCACACTGATCTCCATTGGCTCTTTAAAAAGAAATGCTCTCTGCTTCTATCTTCCATTAATAGACAATGCCATGGAGCCCACTGAGGATTTTGTTATCCATCAACAAACATTTCTTAAAGAAACATATTCTCTCCTGAATTCCCACTGCTTTCTCCTGTGATTCCAACCATGAGTACAGGGTCATGTCCCATTTATACGACAGCTTTGTTTTCTAGGAAAATGTTTATTGCTCTATTTAACAATGTGCATGAGATAATCCAATTTCTAAAGTCACTCACTCACACAGTGTCTTACCCAAAAAGACACCTTTTTCAGATATCTTTCTAGAACCTCAGTTAGGCTCAGTAATTAGAAATAAAAGGATAAGGTTGATAGAAACTGTAGTGCCAGCTTAATTTCAGTGGGCAGTCGTCTTTCCGTATAACCACCTGCTTAGCCAGCATCTTTCTCTGCAGGCTACATGCTAATAATGTTATGTGATCCTTCCTGGTCTAAATGGAGAAAGTAGCTTAGGCACCCTACTACTTGGCACAGCAACCTGCTGCTCTAAACAGAGGAAGCAGCTCCAGCACCCTGCTACTTGGCACAAGCCTCCTCCTGGCCTAAATAAAGAATGCGGTCAAGCACCCTGCTATGTGGCAATGGCCCCCTGCTGAATTAACCTGTAAAAACAGCTCAGGTACCCTGCTGCTTAACACATGCCTCCTGCCAGTTGCTGGTCTAAAAGAAGTTCAGGAGCCCTGAGAATGCCTACAACATTGCAAGCAGGGCCAGTGCTTCCACTAGGCAAACTATGCAGCCACCTAAAGCGCACTGCCACCTAGGGGCATCTGGGCGCAGCACAGGCTGGCACTCTCTCTCTCTGTGGGATTCCCCCACATCATGAAAGAACCTCCAGCTGAGGGTAGGGGCAACAGAGAGGAGGAACAAAGGACAGAGGAAGGTGCCGGGTGTCTGGGGCCAGTGTAGCAGCCGAGCTGCCGATCCTTCCAGTGTTCCTCTCAGACGCAGTCCCTTACTGCAAGCTGGCTGGCTGCTGCTGATCACTGTGGCGTTCCAGTCCTTCTCTTCCCATTCATCAGCAACGGAGCTGCGCCTGCGAAGGAAGGTAATGTCTGACTATGATGTCTCATGTCTGTTTGAGTGTGACCCAACCAGCCGGACATCCATCACATGTGCAATGTGTCAGTGAGTGATGAGATCATTATGATTCCACAGCCTGTGTGGGCTGGGCTGCCTGCTGTCACAGCATTTTATCTCCCCCCCATTGCCTGGGGAATTCCAGCCTGGGATCTGTCAGAGTGTGGATCCATCATCTTCCACTCACTGCAACTGTCACCCTGCCACTGTCAGTCACAGTTCATGACACTGATTTTGTCTTTAATATTGGTGCTGGTGGCATCTTATGGCACTTATTTTTGCAAATTAAAAGAAATTTAGCAGTTTCATTTTTTGTTGATTTAATATTTTATACAGTTTTTTTGTTCATTTATTTATTTTTGAGGGGGGTGCAAGTAGCTGGTCCTGCCTAAGGCACAAAATAGTCTAGCACCGGCCCTGATCGCAAGGTGGTAAATATAAAGTCTGCTCAAAGCATGGAGCCTGGAAATGCCTGAGCAAAACATTCCTCTCTGGTGATTTAAGATCAATAATAAATGATTACTGCAGAACTCTAAGTGCACAGACAGATTATGGGAAAAAGGCATTTTAGAGTTTAACTCAAAAGGAATAATCTAGCCATGTGACAAAACATTTTAAATTCTGTTGCTATACCGGTGCATAGCAAACTGCTAATGTCTCCACCCTCTCCATGACTGAAGAAATAAAAAAAAAAAAAGGATGCCCTGCCCTTGCATGTGCTCCCCCCATAAATGACTATTTTCAAAAGCCAGTCAGGTTCAGAAAGGGCAAGCTGTTCTCTTCTAGCTTCTGCCTTGCTTAAGTTGTGTGCACTACATAAGTTACTTCTAATCAGAAGCCACTGAGCAGTTACATACCCCGCAGAGGAATCTGCACAGCATACTGAATGCCAAAGCAGACAGAACATTACAGACGGGCTTACAGGGGCTGACTTACTGGGGGTGCTATACCAATGATGGGCCAATTCTTATAAAGGCTTAAAGAAGATATCTTACGTCTATTTTTATTGTTTTCTGTTTCCCGTGGTACATGTAGTACTTTGTCTCATCTTCCTACAGTGTGTGTTGTGTTAGGCGGGCTGTGAAGTCAGACAGGGCACACCTTCTCCATCCATGACCACCAGACAATGCAGCTAGCAAGGAGACAGCTGCTTTGAAGGACAGCACTTTTCTCCATCTACAAACATTTGCCCCTATGCCTGAAACATTTTAGCTGAAAGCTTCCCTCTTCCTGCATTCCTCCTGAGACTTTTTTCTTGAGCAAGTGCTTGGAGATAGAGAAGAGCTCCATCTGTCAAAGTCGATGCTCCTTGCTAGCAATGTTGTCAGATGGCTGTGGAGGGAGGATAGGTGCTCTGTCCGTCCTCACAGCTAGTCTTAGATACCACATAGGAAAATGGGACAAAGTACTACTGTACATCCTCTGGGGAACAGAACACCATAATAACAATGGCAGTGTGACTTATTATTAAGGCCTTCACCTGGGGCTGTCACTGCCATACCCAAAGTGCAATAATCTCACTGTTAGGGCACACAAAAATGTCTAGAGAATGCAGTGATACTTCAACAATTTACGCAAGGAGCTAATATCAAGCCTAATCTAAATTGCACCCAAAAGTGTAAAACAAGAACATTTGAATAAATAGGCTTTAGACTTTTTCGTAAATTATATGACTCCCGTAGCTAGATTATAATTGAATAACTGAAGGATTTAAATAGTAAATGATTAGAGTTAGGGTTAATCTGGTATATTAGTAAATTGAGTCGTTGGAACAGAAAAAGTTTTGCCTGCTGCTAAGGAAATTTAAAAAAAGGAAGACTACTTTCTTTGAATCACATTAACTTTAGCAAGGTACAAAACACCAACAGAGTTAATAATGGCTCTAGAGGTAATTTTTCTGCAGATTTTCAATTTCCTGCGTAGGGAGGTTTGAATGTGGCTATTTATGTGTCCAAAAAGCATTCCCACTCTTGATTTTCACTGTTCAGAAAATGTCAATGAAATAAGAAATGAAACATATTTCTAAATACTTAGGCAGTATGGTGGCTCAGTCACTCTCCTTGTGAATATGGTTTTGTTACAATCTTAACCACTTACCTACTGGGCACTTTTACCCCCTTCCTGCCCCGGCCAATTTTCAGCTTTCAGTGCTGTCCTACTTTGAATGACAATTGCGTGATCATGCAACACTGTACCGAAACAACATTTTTTAGATTTTTTGAGCAAATAGAGCTTTTTTGGTGGCATTTATCCACCATTAGGTTTTTTATTTTTTTACTAAACAAACTAAAAAAGACTGAAAATTTTGGGGAAAAAAGTCTTTAAATAAGTAATTTTTCTCTTTCACTGATGTGCGCTAATGAGGCTGCAGTGATGGGCACTGATATGCTGCACTGATTGGCACTGATAGGCGGCACTGATGAGGAAGCACTGATAGGCGGCACCGATGGGCATTGACAGGCATCACTGGTGGGCATTGACAGGCATCACTGATGGGCAATGAAAGACAGCACTCACATATGGCACTGATAGGTGGCACTGATGGGCACTGATAGGTGGCACTGATAGACAGCACTGACTGGCACTGATAGGCAGCACTGATTAGAACTGTTAGGTGGCACTGATGGGCACTGATAGGTGGCAATGATGGGCACTGATAGGCAGCACAGACTGGCACTGATATGTGACATTGATGTGCACTTATGTGCATTGATATGTGGCACTGATGGGCACTGGTATGTAGCATTGATGGACATGGACAGGTGGCAATTATAGGCACTGAAAGGCAGCACTGATGGGGCTACACTGATCATCAGGGCACTGATGATCAGTGTAGATGTTCCCTCTGAATGTTACTTATCGGCTTTCTTCTCCTCAAGCACTGTCAGCATGAGGAGAGGACTGCCGATAACTGGCATTTTCTATTTACATGTGTTCAGCTGTGATTGGACACAGCTGGTCACATGATAGAGCCTGTGTCATTGGCTCTTTACTGCGATCGGTGATCTGTTGTGTCCCAAGGACACCCAGGGACGCACATGCGCAGCTAGAGTGGGAGGACATCATATGACATCCTCCCAGAATTTTAAGAGCCGCCGCTTACCCGCCCATCATTTCCTTATATGGCAGGTGGGAGGCGGTTAAAGCCAAACTCTGGGCTAATTTTAAATGTACCGTGTTAAGTAAGAACATGATCACATTATCCTTAATAGTGAAAACAGTAAACAGTACAGCCAGCAGCTAACAGTGATCTCATTCACAGTAAGCTAATCAACAGCTAGGCACCCAGACAAGCCAGGAGCCCACCCCAGGCAGCCCGGTACCTCCAACCCTGAATACAGTCCATTACACATGCTGTATTTCAGGTGTTTGTTTTCACTTGTATAATCTATCATAAGACAAAACTCATACACTTCATTGAGCTTTTAAAAGCAGCCCCTCCCCAACATGAAATACTGCTTTGGTTACACAATGGGGTTGATTTACTAAAACCAGAGAGTACAAAATCTGGTGCAGCTGTGCACAGAAACCAATCAGTTTCTAGTTTTTTTTTATCTTGCCAAAGCTTAACCTCTTGCCGACCGTGCATAGCCGAATGACGGCTTCACCGCGGCCAGCCAGTTCTGAGTGGACGTCATATGACGTCCTCCCAGAACGCGCTCTCCTGCGCGCCCCAGGGGGCGCGCACCCGGCGATCTCCGTGATCGCTGTGTCCTACGGACACAGCTGATCACGTGATGTGGTGAAAGGCCGATCCCACCGGCCTTTTACCACGTGATCAGCGGTGTCCAATGATCACAGGGAAATGCAAGTGCCGGTTCTCGGCTGCACTTTCCTCACGCTGTCAGATCATGAGGAAAGTACTGCCGAGAACCGGCAGTTGTCAGAGCGGGGATCGGCACCGATCATCAGGGCACTAATGATCAGTGCCCTGATGATCGGTGCCCAGCAGTGACACCCGCAAGTTCCGCCCAGCAGTGCGCCCACTAGGCCCGCCCACCCGTTCCCAGCAGTGCCCCCACCTGTGCCCAGCAGTGCCCCCACCTGTGCCCAGCAGTGCACCCACCTGTGCCACTCTGCAGTGCCACCTACATGTGCCCAGCAGTGCCACCCACCTGTGCCCACCCACCTGTGCCCACCAGTGCCACCCACCTGTGCCCACCAGTGCCACCCACCTGTGCCCACCACACCCGCCTGTGCCCACCAGTGCTGCCCACCTGTGCCACCCACCAGTGCAGCCCAGCAGTGCTGCACCAGTGCAGTGCCACAGTGCTGTCAGTGCCACCAGTCCTGCCCAGGGGTTGTGCCAGTCAGTGCCGCCAGTCAGTGCCCAGAAGTGATGCCAGTCAGTGCCGTCTATCAGTACCCATCATCAGTGTCACCTATCAGTGCCGCCTATCACTGCTGCATATCAGTGCCGCCTATCCGTGACCCCTAATTAGTGCTGTCTATCAGTGCCGCCTATCCGTGCCACACCTCATTAGTACTGCCTATCAGTGCCCTTTAGTGCTACCTATCAGTGCCCATCAGTGCCGCCTATCAGTGCCCATCAGTGCCGCCTCATCAACGCAAATCAGTGAAGGAGAAAAAATACCTGTTTGAAAAATTTTATAAAAGAAACAAATAAACTTTTTTTTTTTTTTTAATTTTTTGCACTTTTTTTAATTTATAGCGCAAAAAGTAAAGCGCCCAGTGGCGATTAAATACCACCAAAAGAAAGCTCTATTTGTGAGAAAAAAATGATCAAAATTTCATATGGGTACAATGTTGCATGACCGCGCAATTGTCAATCAAAGTGCGGCAGCGCTGAAAGCTGAAAATTGGCCTGGTAAGGAAGGGGGTATAAGTGCCTGGTAGGCAAGTGGTTAATTAAACAAGCTGAACTTAGAAGCTGATTGGTTACCATGCACAGCTGCACCAGATTTTACACTCACCATTTTCAGTAAATCAACCCCAATGGATTCTGAAAAACAGGTTGAGTAAGTATTTTGCAGCACTCCAGTCAAACATGAAATTGTAAATTTAAAGAGAAGGATTACTCCTGCAAAAATAATACGTCCCACCAGCCTCCTGCACTTTCCTCATACAAATAGTAAAAATTAAATAAAGACCTTAAACACAGATATAAATCTGGTCTCCATAGCTGCAGCAAGAAAACTGATCTTCTCTACATTTATTCATGAGATTTTAGCTTTTTACAAAGACTCTGTCGCTTTGCCCATTTAAAGTGGAACTAAAGTTTTAAATTAAAAACTGCTAGCAGGCAGGCTCTTTATTGCAGAAGAGACAAAAATAAACCTACCTGCCTGCTCACAGTCTTCTTTAGAATGTACATGCGCATTCACAATTCTGTTTACTCTTTGGCACAGATCCTGTGTGCCGCGTTGACTGCACTCTGTGCATGAAAAATCCTGCGATGAAGACGGTCGCATCCCAGCACCCCGAAGAAGTTGGGTAGAAGATGCCAGCATGGGAGATATGGAAGACTCTTGGTTTGCTTTGGTGAACCCTGTTTGGACTCTGTGCTGTTAGGGCAGCAATGTATGTTCCAAGATGGTGTTGAGGTGTTCCTGCACATGCATGTGACGCCATTTCCGGCAAGCTTGTGCGCATGTGCAGGCCCATTTCGGGCGTCCGCACCTGTCCGTTAATCACTGGCAGGGTGGGGATAAATATTACAGCCTTGGCTGGCTGCATGGATGCTACACCCAGCTCTCCTGTGACCTTGTAAGTACATGGTATGGAAGTGTAAGGATGGACATTTTTGTTTCGTTGTGGTGTTCATTAAGAGTATTTTCTTGAGTTGATAATTTATCTCTTTCTTCCTCCCCTTTCTTTGTTAACATGAAGGTGTCTTTATGACTGTTTGGTGGGGTCTCTCTTGTATAGCTTGAGGCCTTCAGCTACCGATATCAAAGTTTGGATTGTTTGTGGCAAATAAGTTCGCCAACAAGTGTTTTTTGGACTCTTCAGTTCTTTGTGGTGCCTATTTTGATATATAACTTCCCTTTTTTTTTAATGCTGTATTGAGATGTTGATATGTTTGTTAGCAGGGAGATCCGCATTGGTGGGTTGCAACCTTTTCCCTCTTTTGGTTCATCTTGGACTCCTCTGGGGATATAGAAGTGGATGCTTGTCTGCTGGTTTTTTCCATATATCAAGATACACCTGGTAAGAACAGCCTTGGCAGGTTAACCCTATAAAAACCTTTATTTAGTAGGTGTTGTCATTAATTCTGTATGCATATCTATTGATAAACCAAATTGCTTATTGTTTGTATTTTAGTTTTTTTCTAGTGGCAATTACATGCAACTATCTGTAAATATCCTGAAGAAGCCAGGCATTTGGAACATGCTGAGTTGGAATTGTTGCATGGTGAACTTCAAGCCACATGAAGTATCATGTTGGTTTTATACTTCTGAAGACTACTAATAAGACTACTAAGTGTTTGAAGTCTGTTCATCACCTTAAAAATCCCCTCTTTCTATACAATGTTGGATGTTCATAATATGGGATGTGGTGCTAGCTGATCTCCAGCCCACCTGAAACAAATAACAGTTAGTATTGCAGACTTTAGGTATGCTTTAAGGGAAGGAGGCTGCCATAACCTCTCCTTAAAATATGAGTGTTTCAGTACCTTGAATCACTGACACAAGTATAAAGATAAAAGGCTCAATCAAATGGGTGATCTGAGGCTAATAGGCTGCTGCGTTCAAAGGCGGTCACATGTCACTTTGGGCTACGGATGTATACAAAATGGCCAATTAGATGCAGCCAGATTACATGTGGCCAGAAACGCCATCCAATTGTGCAAAATCCTGAGACCTCTGCAGCCTTGTTGGCCTGGGGATAATATCTTGTTTGTACAGATTTTAAAGTCCTTACATACTCCATGTGACTTTATTTATTTTAGGTACTTATTTAGCACTGTATACAACGCTTTACATATATATTGTACATTCACATTGGTCCCTGTCATCAAGGAGCATATCATCTAAGGACCTTAACTTACAGTCATACATACACATACTAGGGCCAATTTAGACAGGATCCAAGTAATGTACCAACATGTCTTTGGAGTGTGCGAGGAAACTGGAGTACCCAGAGGAAACCAATGCAGGCACTGGGAGAACATGCAAGCTCCAAGCAGGTAGCGCCATGGTTGGAATATGAACCGAGGACCCTAGCATTGCTAGGTGGAAGTACTAACCATTTTGCCATTGTGCTGCCCCAACTGTTCTGATTAAACTGTTATTGAATTGGAACTACCTGCACCCATAAGGTATTGTGACACACAAGGCACTGAAAATCAGTGGACTGCACCCCAGGCCTCCTGAAAGCTTATGCACCTGCCCCATAACATACTAGCACCTCTCTGCTGGTACGTGGTTTACACTGAACAGATATATGAATAATTTCCTTCCATAATTCTCCTGAAGAAGCAGCCAACATTGTATCTGCTAAACATGTTCAGCGGGGTGACCCCCAGTCCACTGCAAAATGAATGTTAGAGATATGCATTCATAACCATTTTTTTGGTCTTTAGGTAATAATAGAAAACTGTTGCAGCAAGATCTGGGAGCATCATTGGCAGGTTTATGTTCAAGTATGATGGTCCAGTGTGGTATTTGATTTAGAACACCACAAATGTCATAGGGGAATAAATACGTGGGCCCAAACTGTCTGGATATTGGATAGTGGATAAGTGGCTGCATGCAAACATCAGCAGTGCCAGTTTGTACATAGTACAAATCTGATAGCTGCTTTGCACACACAGTGTGCACAAGTATTTCCTCTGACGGCAAGAATCTGTTGGCAGCCACAGGTTGTCTTCTGCATGAATGCCGCAAAAGACTTCTGATTTTATTTCTGACTTTTCTGTCAGCATACTTCTACCGGTTCAGTGACTACCATGCAACTAGCATTTTTCTGAAGACAGTCAGGAATAGCAACCCACATATGAAATATTTAAAAACTTCATTCAAGACTCAGTCCCCCGCCCCCCCCCCCCCCCCAGTTGCCCCCCCCCCCCCTTCTGGAAGGCCCACATGTGCATGTTTTGCTTTTCTTTTAACTTACCTTTTTCAAGTGTCTTCATTATGGTTACATGACAAGCTGGGTCTTCTACCTAACCTTTTTGCCTCTTCTCTAGCCCAGAGCATTCCTCTGCTAATGAATGAAGGCTGCATAGTGCTGCCCCCTTAGGGTCAGTGCTGTGACAGCCACTCATTCATAATATTTTATCCGTCTATCGGGTTAAATTACACAGGGGGGGGTTATTTACCAAAGCTGGAGAGTGCATTTCAGGTTCACTTCTGCACCTCAGCTTGTTCAACTCAGCTTTGCCAATAAAGCCTGGAAGGTGATTGGTTTTTAATCAGAAGTGAGCCCGAATTTGCACTCTTAAGCTTTAATAAATAAACCCCTGGGTGTCATTCATTACAGATTAAAGATGAGCATTTCAGCTCCTTTTATATTTTTTAGCCTGCCTGCCTGGGGCCCCATTTACATTTGAACAAACACCCTAGAGTTGGGCTTTAACTTTTAATCTATTTCTGAAAGGATAATAACATGGAAGTCATATAAGTAAAAACCAAGCTTTTCCTTATCACCTATTTTAGGAAAATAGAGAAAACTTGCCCAAAATGTACTTGGGTTAAATCATTTCCTTTATGCCCCAAATTTTCCCTGAATGTATGTGCCTTTTGAATCATTTTTACTAGGATCAGAACCTCTGCATTTTAAACACATAACAGTACTGCAAATGTTATAAATAAATGCTTGTGAATTGCCTAACTCAAGATACAATCTTTTAAATCTAAAAACTTGGAAAACATCCCAAGAGTCTTCATAAACCAAGTACTTTCTTCATACAAAAACAGTGCTGTACAATGTTACTTGAACTACTATAACCCACATACTGTTGTTCCAAATATGTTCAAGTTTTGAAAATGTGTATATGCCTTTTTAATACATATTAAATGCTATGATAAAGGAATTTCCTTAACCACAAACTTGAGGTCAAACTATCATTTTCACAGCTGGGACTACGACCATATGCTACAGCATTCATACAGGCAAGGAGACATCTATGTTCAAGATATCACTATCTGTAGTCCGTTTTGAAACATATACATAAATATGTTATGCTTTCTGAATTAGGAAACTTAAAATTTTTCTATA